CAGAACCAAACCATAGTAAAAAAAAAAATACACATACATTTAATTTATCTGCAACACTTAATCTGTTATGCTTTTACTTACAACTAGGCACTGACAAGTCATTGAATGACACTGTGCTTGGTTCAGCAACTTCAGGACTCAAAGTGCAACAGAAGAGGAAAACTGATCCTTTGAATTGCACCTATTGGTTACTCTGAGCCTCAGAGCTCAGTTTCCAGAGAGCCCAACCTGTCCTGGCCCTGGCCTCCAGGGGCTTGGGAAAGGTCACAATAAAGGTCATGGTCAGCTCTGCCACAACCTGACAGCCAGGCTGACGCGGGGAGTATCCCACTCTCAAATGCCAAGTCATGAGCAATGGCTTCAAACAGCCACAATAGACAAAAATGTTGCAGCAAGTGCATTTCTTAAACACTTGTTGCACATTTATACAAATTATAAACATGACAAAATAATGATAAAATTATACACCATCATAAAATAATTGCAGTAAACACAACTCCAACACTGACATCATCTATGACTCTTAGATGCGGTTACATAGGTAACTGACAACAAAATAAAAATCACAAATTTATATGCTGACTTCTACAGGGAGAGGTATTTCAGAAAACATATAAGCCAGAAAATTTAGTGCTCTACAGATTTCCCACAAGGCTTTGCATCTTAAGCCACTCTCCATAAGTTTAAAGGGAGTAAAATGATGCAGTATAACTATATATCCTGGGCTGGAACTATTAGCAATTTGATTTATTAGTTGATTGATAGTTAATTAATCCCTAAATGTTTTGATAAACGCTTAAAAATAATTTGGCCAAATAAAAATGCAAAACACTCGCTGGTTTCAGATTCTTCCTTCTGACAATCTGCTTCTTCGTCTTCAGCTCTCAGAAACTGTGATGGGTTATTTTGTAGTCCAAAATATAATTAATTGATAGTAAAAAAATAATCACAAGTTGCAACCCAAAATATATCAATTAAAAAAGTAATTTTCCTCAGAATTGTATATTTTCACTATCATATATACTACCACTATATATCTGCATGTTCATTCACCAGCTGCAAAGTAAAGTGTAAAATTTCTGAGCACATTCTGAGGATATAGTATGACTATTTTTCTCACAGGGACCAGCACAGTGGCAGTGAAGGACTCAGATCTGCCCTCATCACCCCAGAGAAGAATCCTATCCTGGGAAGGGGCTGGGAGGACAGAGGGGAGCAGTAAATCACCTCTCCACTTCACATTCACACGAGTGCTGAGCAGTTCTGAACTTGCACTATATAGTAAGAACCTGTGAGAGTCCAGGTTGAAACCACTCCACCCTTCACCCCTACGCCCGCCCGCCCGCCCCCCACCCATCCCCATACGCCCCAGCAGAGAGGATTGGGGTCAACCAGCAAAGCAACCTCAGATGAGAAACCCTCAAAAGAAGAAAGAAAGAGGACCCCCTCCCCTCCCCTTTCCACTCCTCTTACAAATCAGAGAGCATTACATCTGAAACGACATCCTTTCATCTCTCGAAGCGAAACAGACAACTTCATTTCACTCAGAAGCGTGAGCGTGATGCATCGTGAGGACACAGAGAGAGTAATTAAAAGACAGCAAATAACACCATGTTCAATTAATGGGGATTTACAGTAGAAAATCCCTCTCTGCCAGTCATCTATCCTGCCCTGCTCTTAATACCATCTCGCCCTGCTCTTCATTTAAACAGCTGAATCCCACTTCCATCTGCTTGGCCTGGGCCGGGGTGGATGTTTAAAAAAAGGGCTTGGTCTTGGTTTGGCCCAGTAGCTGGTGCTGACACCTCTGCTCTATTACAAGCCGGGTCAAGTCCAAAAACCCTTATTTCAGACACTTTCTTTTCCCTTTCTCTTATTTCCTCGTCTCTGGTGAAAGGAGACAATGAAATGAAGAACGAGAGAGCAATTTTTCTTTCTTGCTCTCACCCCATTTCTTCTCCAAAGCTCTTTGACATAAACTGAGTCCATCTCTCCAACTCTATAAAGAGACCATCCAGCCTCCCTGGGAGCTTCCACCCTAGACAATGAACTCACATTATTCTTGCACAGCACTCTCTCGCTAGCGCTGCGCTCCCAGCCCAGCTCACTTCTCATTCATTATTTCATTCATTCATTCATCCTCTTTGCTTTTCTCTCTCTCGTTTTCCCAGATTTCCTTGTCCTCTTCTCTTTTTTTTTACTGACTTCTTCCTCTTCTGGCGTTGTTTTTAATCCCACCTTAATCTCTTTCTTGAGCTTGTCACTACATCAAGGCTTGAATAGATCATTCCTCATTTATACTTAATCCAAATATTCTGGGCAGAAGGCTGGATAAAAAGCAAGGGTTAACTGCTTTTGTTGTTCTAAGCCTTGCAGCAGTCTAACAAGACACACACACAATCACACACTCACACACACAGACTGATGCAATAAAAGAAAGAGACAGAGAGAGGAGGGAAAGGGCCAGAATTCACTTTCGATGCACTTGCTATTTTGTCTTACTTTATTCATTCACCTTTCATTTTTATCTGCCAGAGATAGAAAGACATGAGTCCATTTAACTGGCTGAGTGAACATCCAACCAGCGATGGCCCACTTGGGAGAGGAAGAGGGGGAAAAAAAAACTAAGCAAAAGCTCAGGGGGAGTGAAAAATAGATCAAAGCGTTCATCGAGGCCAATTCAAATGCAATCATGACCCAATCACATTGTGTCCCTGCAGCACTTTTAAGAGAACGGGTCAGTGGTGTTTTATTGTGGGTGGGAGCTAGCCTAATGAAAGGGACAATGTGAAGATTAGCAGTGCCAGCCAGGGAACTCAAACTTCACCCTGGCTTTAATTGCTGAGAACAAGAGGAGATGTAGAAGCAGGGCAAACAGAGGACAAAAGAGCAGGGCAAGCAGGGAAGGAGGAAGTAAGAGGAGGTATGAAGACTGGATGATAAATGGATGGTATTGCTTTTATGCAGTGCAGTGTGTCCGTCTGGTCAAGGCTGGTGTGGGATGTGTGAAGGAATGTGTGTCCTGGTAGACAGGGTCCAGGCACCTAATAAACCATAAATGAAGGCAGATAATGTTGTAATTACAGAGTGCGAATCAATCAAAGCCCACAGAAACACAGCATCACTTGTGCGAGCAGGGCTTATGTGAACGTCACAAATTCTGTGATTTGGTTTTGCTCAGAGATAAAGTCAAGTGAGCGCTACGAAGCAAACCAAGCTAACCAAGCTAACCGAGTAGCTGAGCATGAAAACTGAAGGCTGTGTGAAACAGCTAGCTAACCTTGCTCTGCACAAACTGTTATAATTAAGACGAGTAACATGTTGGTGCTGCTCTTCACAAACACCAGTTTATGCGTCTGCTCAGTACATCCAGCTTTGGTTAGTATGGTTAGCTAGTTACACCACGAACCTCCCCCTAACACAAAAATTTTACATTTTTGTTATCATGTTACAAGAAACAGCATGTAAATCAGTTAGAGGTTCTGGTAAGCTTTTTTATTGTTGGTGTTATTGTTGTTTGTTTGTTTTTGGTTTGTTAGTTTGTTTGTTTTCTGACTTTGGAAGGCTAACTGTTTAAGCTAGGTTAGCTGTTTTCTGACCTCAGCAATCAGTACGTTAACATTTCCAATATGCACACCTTAGGGGAGAAGTCTAGATATTTTTTGTTACCTGTTGTACAGCTGCAGGTTTTATCTTGAGAGGTACCCTCTTGACCCCACAATTGTCCTCTGAAAGATAAAATGTTTTCTTGAGGCAAATATTTGCAGACTGCACCGGTCACGGTCATAGCCTGCGGAGCAGCCTCAATGCATATTCCACAGAAGAAGAAGAACAGAGTGAAGCAGCACAGTCTGTGGGAATATTGGTTTGGTTGGGCCACTTATTGGTATTGATATTGGTTTAAAAAACGTTTTGACTTTTCCTCTTAGGTTTTTTTTGTAGGGAACGCTATGTGAGGTAATCATGCAGTAACGTACAGTACTGAAGTAGCTACCCAGGCTAAAGCTAGGCTAAAGTCAGGCTAAAGCCGTGGTAACTCCTGCTCTGTGCTGAACGCACATACATGAGGTTGAGATTAATCCTCTCTACTCACTCTCTCACAAAAAGCAACAGGCATATTTCCCAAATGTTGAGCTACTACTTCTAATATTCATTCGCACCAGTGGGTGTGGTGACTGGGGAAAAATGGAAATAGCAGTGACCAAAACTTAGCATAGATGTGTAAACAAAGGCATTGACATGGAAAATGTGATGAAGACACATTTCCACAAGGCAACACAACCAGTCCTGCACTTGTAGACAGTTGTTTCACTGGTGCTGGTGAGAACAGCTGGACTTGTGGGGCAGCTACACTGTTCAACATTATGCTTCCAAAACCAATGTGAAACTTATTTCTTTGTTGCCCACAACAATTAACTGCGATTGCTCTTTCTGATCAGTAAGTTGGGTGTGTTTGTCAGTGAGCAGTTACACTCAATTACGACCTTTCTTCTTGCACTGTCATGTCAGCAGTGTAACATATCTCTCCTCTCCTGCTCTCTTCCTTTTATCCTTTCATTCTCTCTCCACTCCTCCCAATGTTCAAATAAGAGCAGGACAAAGCTTTAGAAACCAGAACTTACACTCATGGGTAATGATGTCATGTCACAGTTCACCCATATTATTACCAAGGTCTGAATTGTGCACACAATGATGCATCAAAACAATTGGGTCATTAGAGGAGAGAAGGATTTTCAGACATGGAGCGTGAGGTAGGAGTGGAGCACAAAATCTGTTGGGTGAAAGGATTTTATTTCTAATATATCCTCTAAACTTTTCAGAAACTGAAAACAAAGCATTCCTGTTAGGGTTTTTGAGGTTTCGTCAACCCAAGGGATGATACATTTTCTCAAACTATGTTGAAACCATGTAATCAGTTTAAGTAAATTATAAAACGACTGCTGAGTTTTTCACATAACAAAAACTTGCAATTTCTCAAGAAGTTACAGGCAGACACTTACCAGTCCAGAGCACGTTGATATGGCTGCAGAGGATGCTGACAGGTTACGGACAAATCCCTGATACAGGCAGTTGTGGAACCCCGCATCATCCATCACCGTGGCGATGCCATCTGAGCTGAGCGTCTGCACGGTGAACCCTGGGCCAATCACAGAGGACGAATGCAGGTCCAGGTGCATGTCCTGTCCAAAGGCAGAGAGCCGGTAGTGCAGAGAAGAGGACAGGGACCTCCTGCTGCGGTGGCTTCGCTTGGTCACATCATGGGTCAGGTATCCTCCCTCAGAGTTCACCTTCACCGGGGTTACAAACACGTAGTCTGACAAAAGAGAGGGATGGAAAGGAAGTCTCATCAAAAGGTGCTAACATCAAATACTCAGATACTCCAGGAGTTATTTTGTGACTGATTTGTTTTCTTTGGCGTACCGACCTTCTAACCATCCTCCTACTGGTTCAGTTAGTTATTTATTTTCCAGAAACTATTTGGCCAAGGAGGAGTGAGAACATTTGCATTTAGCTCTTGCTTATGTCAGTGGAGAAAGTGACAGTTACACTATAATAAAAGTATGAAAGTACAGTATCTCACAAAAGTGAGTACACCCCTCACATTTTTGCAAATATTTTATTATAACTTTTCATGGGACAACACTATGGAAATTAAACTTTGATATAACTTAAAGTAGTGAGTGTACAGCTTGTATAGCAGTATAGATTTACTGTCCTCTGAAAATAACTCAACACACAGCCATTAATGTCTGAACAGCTGGCAACACAAGTGAGTATACCTCACAGTGAACATGTCCAAATTGTGCCTAATTGTGTCGTTGTTCGTCCCTGGTGTCATGTGACTCGTTAGTGTTAAAGGTTTCAAATTTTGCGTGTTTTCTCATACTCTCATCCTGGTCACTGGACATTCAACATGGCGCCTCATGGCAAAGAACTCTCTGAGGATCTGAAAAATGGAATTGTTGCTCTTCATAAAGATGGCCTAGGCTATAAGAAGATTTCTAACACGCTGAAACAGAGCTACAGCATGGTGGCCAAGATCATACAGCGGTTTTCCAGGACAGGTTCCACTCGGAACAGGCCTCACCGGGGTCGACCAAAGAAGTTGAGTCCATGTGTTCAGTGTCATATCCAGAGGTTGGCTTAAAAAAATAGACAAATGAGTGCTGCCTGCATTGCTGCAGAGGTTGAGGAAGTGGGGGGTCAGTCTGTCAGTGGTCAGACCATACGCCGCACACTACATCAAATCGGTCTGCATGGCCGTCGTCCCAGAAGGAAGCCTTTTCTGAAGCTGATGCACAAGAGAGCCCGCAAACAGTTTGCTGAAGACAAGCAGTCCAAGAACAGAACCAGAACCAGGTCCTGTGGTCTGACGAGACCAAGACAAACTTGTTTGGCTCAGATGGTGTCAAGCGTGTGTGGCAGCACCCTGGTGAGGAGTACCAAGACAACTGTGTATTGCCTATAGTCAAGCATATTGATGGTAGCGTCATGGTCTGGGGCTCCATGAGTGCTGCCGGCACTGGGGAGCTGCAGTTCATTGAGGGAAACATGAATTCCAACATGTACTGTGACATTCTGAAGCAGAGCATGATCCCCTTCCTTCGGAAACTGGGCCACAGGGCAGTTTTCCAACATGATAACGACCCCAAACACCCCTCCAAGATGACAACTGCCTTGCTGAGGAAGCTGAAAGTAGAGGTGATGGACTGGCCAAGAATGTCTCCAGACCTAAACCCAATTCAGCACCTGTTGGGCATTCTCAAGCGGAAGGTGGAGGAGCGCAAGGTGTCATCATGGAGGGGTGGAAGAGGATTCCAGTACCAACCTGTGCAGCTCTGGTGAATTCCATGCCCAAGAGGGTTAAGGCAGTGCTAGATAATAATGGTGGTCACACAAAATATTGACAGTTTGGGCACAATTTGGACATGTTCACTGTGAGGTGTACTCACTTGTGTTGCCAGCTGTTTAGACATTAATGGCTGTGTGTTGAGTTATTTTCAGAGGACAGTAAATCTTATACTACTATACAAGCTGTACACTCACTACTTTAAGTTATATGAAAGTTTAATTTCTATACTGTTGTCCCATTAAAAGATATAATGAAATATTTGCAAAAATGTGAGGGGTGTACTCACTTTTGTGAGATACTGTAAATAAGTAAGTTGCAGCCTCTATTCAAAACATAACCATTTCTGGTGATTGCTTTACATTCTGGTTTTCTTACTGTGGAGCTAATGTTGGTGGAGACAAGTCCATTGTTTTACCTCTTTTAAAAGAAAGCTATGTCATGTCAATCTTAGATGCAATTAAATTAGCTCAACATGGTCCAGGTCCAGTCCAGTAAATCACCAACATCTAAACAGGTTACTTTCAAAAACTATCATTCGCAAACAAAACCTGTTACTGAAATGACAAGCTTGTGTTCAAGTGAGAGGTTCAGTGCGCAGCAAGTCATATGGATCACAGATGGATTTTAACAGAGGCCGTGACGCCAACATCATACTTCCATGCATGTCAGATATGGGTCAATACTTCAAAACCAGAGGTTGTAAATATAAAATGTTCTGATTTCATGCAGTAGTCATGGTGTTCCAGTCAGATAAAAATGTTAAAATGACTGTATTGCTTCAATACAGGAGAACAGTGAGAAACACCATAGTAAAAGCAGGAACTTTAACATTTGCATTAAGTTTTTTCCCCTGTCTTTCAGCTTTGTTAATGTGACAAAGGACATAACTTTCTGTAGCTTCAGAAAATAACCTTTCAGTGGAGTACTAGGAGAATCAGGATGCTTTCTTCACAACCTGAGAAAAAAGTCCATCTCCCTTCTTCCCTCAGTAAATCAAAGTATGTAAATCACCTCAGCTTGTTTCCTTGGTTTCTGCAGGACAAAGCCATGAAGAGGGAATCCCTGTGTGTGCACTGCCCTCATTGGTCCTGTCTCAATAGCCACTGCAGCGGTGTCAGCTTATTATAAACCCTTATTATAACCCTAACCCTAATTTAAGGGTCCCTAACATTTTTTTACCACGTGAAATGTAGACATGTCACCCCATTTCACACTGAAATTGTAATGTCACTAACTGTTTAATTCAAGACTATGGTCTACCTTGTTTTATTCACATTCTCATGGGATTCTGCCAGCTGGAAGAAACATCCACTGATGCCAAAAGACAAGCACTCACCATGATTTAATCCGTGGCTGTCACTGGAAGAATAGCTGGCCGAAACGCTGTGGGAGGTGTGTGAGCAGTAAATGTGCGGCGTCTGCAAAAAAAAAAAAAAAATCATAAATGGACAGGTAGCAACAGGTTGCAAGCAGTGGAATAAGTGGAAGCCAAAAAAAGTGATAAATGGAGTTCCCCTGTGGAAACATGAGTTTAATTTAGGATGACAATCATTTGTCTTACTTTTCACCACAAGCAGTGGCTTGTTGTTGACATAAATCTTGCTGAAAAGAGACAAATACTAGCAAATGGTTGCATGTCTTGAGTTTAAGTGTGTGCATTTATACTTAGATGCCACATGCCTTGATAATATTCCAGGACAAGAAGGTGGAGAGTAGCTTGACTGAGGTGCAGCTGCCCAGCGGGATGGGTAAAGTCCATATTAGAAGAAAAAGGCAATCCATGATGATGGCATGCAAAGCTCACACCTCCTCCGTTACCTCCTAAAACAGCGCAAAAGTAGTAATAACCTGCGGTAGCGCATAATGCAGTGTGCACGCATTGTTTAGTGGTTCGGTTCCCCGCGTTGCTGGTTCAGGTGAAGTCGGCAGGTTGCAGCAGTCGGTGGTGCGCACAGACAGGGAGCGCACTCATGAGTGTGTGTGTGTGTGTGAGTGTGTGTGCGTGTATATGTGTGTGTCTGTGAGTGTGTGTGAGCGCAGGTAGCGGTGTCGTGGATCACCGGGAGGAGCGCTGACTGAGCACTGAGCCCGGCTCTGTGCGAGCCGGCCCGCAGGATAGAGAAAAGTCAGGGGGCAGCAGCCAATCAGCGCGCAGCATCATTTACCACGCGGAGATTAAAGAGAAGAAAAAGATTCTCCTTTTAGCAGCAGCGGGACTACTGCTGCCTTCAGGTGCCTCTCGTAAATTTCTACTTTAAAAGTTCAGTGAGTTTTGGGCTGCTATTTAAAAAACGAGTTTTTGTCTTTGCAGTGGCAGGATGATGAAGAGCAGAAAATATACACACCATACGCGACTTTTTCATTTCTTTCATTAAAAAAAAAAAGAGTGCAATGAGAGAGTCCTGAATATTATACAGAAAATAGCCTACAGACAATAATTATATAATAATAATTATAATTATTAATTGTTTCACTTTCTTCTGTCACTTCTGCTACTGTGCTATGTGGTATAAACTAACTGTGGTGCAAAGTACCCCAGCACATGAATTATACTTAAAAGTAAAATTTTCTTTCTTTTACTTATATTTCCATTTTAAGTTTCTTCATACGTATTGCTATGGCAAACAGTAGCCTATATTTTTTAAGTGAGGGAAATTGGAAATCTATTTATTCAGGCTAAAAATTTATCTGATCAAACTGAACATCAGTAGTGAAGGAATTATTAAGATTATTTTCTGAAGTAACACTACTCACATTAAAATGTACATAACTACATTTACAAAGGAAATTTTCACTCCAGTCTGGCAGCTTGGCTAGTTATTAAGGAAGGTGAGAAGAAGATTTTAAATTTAAATCAGCTATTTGTAAGTTTTGCTATTGCTACATAGCCATCTACTGAAATTAGCATCTCACTTTCTGGTAGTGACTCAGTGTAGAACTAGTCTAGAAGAACTGTTGCAAGTTCATCATCAAGATTCATCCCTTTACTCAACAAGAGTAGAGGTGAAAATCAATGCAACTGTTAACTCTTGTCTCTATCATGTCTTTTTATCAACCTTTTTATCTACTGAAGTTAGCATGCTAACCAGCTAGCCCGTCTCATTACTTTGCCCTGCCCTGAAGATGTAGTGCTGCTCAGTAGGCGTATTATAACCTTTTGTCTTGTGAACGCAATGATGGCCAAAGCTTTTGTCAAGCATCAATTACCACCATCTGCTCCCAAAAAGAAACCATGTTCGGTGGCAGAGAAAACTTACAAATAGCCCCACCATGTGTTAAGTCTATAAAATAAAATACACTGTTGAAGATGAACTGATTTCCATCCTTTTTGGCTTGTAACCCTTTAAAAAGTCATTTCAGTCAGTTCAGTCAGTTCAGTCACATACACCACCTTTATTTATAGTGGAATATTTTTTACATTTTAATGTGATTACTGTTACTTCAGGAAAATAATCTTAATAATTCCTTCACCACTGATGTTCAGTTTGATCAGGTACATTTTTAGCCTGAATAAATAGTTTTCCAATTTCCCCCACTTTTCAGTCAGCTAAAAAATATAGGCTACTGTTTGCCATAGCAAGAAATGGTGTGTTTTCTGAGTGGCCCAGAAGTCCAAAATATGAGCTCTTGAATCGAATATTGCAATGCTTACATTCTTTAACTCAACACAAACACAATGCACAGAATGATTTCAGCGCACACTGTTTTCTCACCTTCAAATTCTGGATGAAGTCACCTTATGGTGTTTTATTTGCAATTTAACAAACCCTGAGAAGAAGATATTGAGACACTGCAAAGCCATAAATAAGTACAAATGCCTTTTACTGAATCTTGGCTTGAAACCAACATGTTTGCTCTACAAAACAAGTTGTCATCAGAGTGTCACGCGCACACATTCGCTCAGTCTATGTGCAATGACAACTTTTTATACACAGGATGTTTCATTTCCTACATCTTCTTTGTGTTGTAGAAGTTTTACTCATTGTGGTTGGGCCGCATTAAAACAACTGGCAGCTAAGATGCACAAACAAGAGAGGATGCAGATTTCCTGAATGCTGCTCAAAGCTCAATATTTAACTGTTCTGCTAGGAGATGATCACTTGCAGGAGTCACTGAAGTGTGTCAGATCCTTTTAGGCTGTGTTTCATCTGCAGCTGTGGAACTGTCAGTGAAACGTTTTATCACAGGGGTACAAATACTGTTATGCACTCATCAAATTGTACCGACATACCAACAAAAACAATACAACAATGCATGTAAATAAACCAAGAACACATGAGCACAAATGCACAGAATATAAAATATTACAGACTTTAGCTTTGTAGAAACAAGCTTTAAGATATTTGCATGTAGGGCTTGTAGCAAATGTGTCTGCATGTGTTTTCTAAAATGTTTACTGTAATATAATATATTCTGTGCATGAATGTAACCCCTCTCCTGGGTCACTCACCTTAAAAAGCTAACATTACTGACAGCAGCTTTACCCAATTCTTCCCACTGGCAGCAGCGTAAATTACCAGTCAATTGAACTAGCCAAAATGGCACACCGTGTGTTTAAGAGTCATATAATTAAATCTGTTGTGTTAAAGTGACAAGTTGTGCACACTTCACTGGCTCGTATTGTTAAAGCATGTGTGTAATCCTAATTGTTGTGAACAGGTGGTCCTGCAGTAGCCGTTTCCATCCCGGTGGCTGGCAAAACACCTGGATAGGTTTCTGGAATGCACTGACAGACACACAGCTGAAGTGTACAGCCAGCTCACTACACAGATATTCACACTCCGCCGAGCATAATAAGGCTTCTCACAGCTCATGCCAGCTTTTCTGGCAGAGCACAAAGCACGGCCTGAATAAAACATCACCTTAATAACCCTGCAATATTCTCATGGGGCTTATGAATGTCTGTGCTACTTAATCACGCATTTAGAGTATACTGACCAAATCACCCGTCATGGCACTTTTTTATCATCTATCTAATAACATGAAGAGATGGAGCTACAGGGACACTGCTGTGACAGATTTGCTAATAGTATCATATATAGGGAAAAGTCTGCATTATCCAGATTGTGATTTTTATAATGCAAGTCCCATTAAACATAGATTAGATGATCACTCACCATAGGGCTCTGTGAGGTGTGAAATGTAGACCCGTGCATCTACCCAATCTACCTGTAATGTTGAACTTGAATGATTCCATTAAACACTTCAGTGTCCTTGCATAATTATCTTACATACTCTAACATAGTGGTTGCCAACCTTTTCCATCTCATGGTCCACTTGAAAATCTCAAAAATGTTGGTTGCCCGCATCCGACCCTATAACAATAAAGAGGCCAGATACTATGTTTTCAGAGCACTTTTTATTTTAATGATGACAATTGAATATTCATGACTGAACTGAAAGCAGGGAAAGCTACATTTTAAATTTTTGGTTGACAGGTGAGAGATCACTTTTTGTTTGACTGTCTGTTTCTTGACTCTTGTTCCTTTTAATTCTTCCTGTTGCTAACCAGCTATCCATTTTGATACTCCAGTTTTTGCCATGTAATCGTCTACAGCACAATCAGACTGAGATAGCAAATAAGTATGCAATTCAGTCCAGTGGCATTAACATAAAATGTCCTATCATTGGCTTAACACAGTGCTAGGCCTTAATATGAGAAGAAAAAATAATGACTGGAGGTTTTAAACATTTTCGATGCTTTCAAGTATAATTTCGTCTTAAAACATTAAAAAAAACATTATTTATATTTCAGTTTTATTTATTTTTTATTTAGTTTTGCAAATGATTTCTTGGCCCACTTGCAATACCTTCACGGCTCAGGTTGGGAACCACTAATTATATCCTGTTATATTTTTTTGATATCAATGCTAATGTCCTCACTTTCTTCTTACTTTGATATTTTATTTGCATTCATTTCATTCAATGCCTCCTGTATCTGCTTTCCTTACCTCTTGGTAAGCGGTTAATAGTCTTATTTTGTCTTATCTTACAAAACAGATGTACTAAACTCCCACCCAATACTTGATATCCACTCCCTAGCTACATAAAGAGCACATTACTTTGTGCATTGGCACTGACATTTTCCATAAATCACGAGGTGTAGATTTTGTCCAATATGGCCAGAATTCCAAGGAATACTGGGCTCATACAAACACAGCTGGGGACACTGACACCCCCACAAAGCGCAGCCTCCAATCTTCCCAGCACACTGGAAAGCCAGCTGTGCCAGGAAGGAGACTGATCAAACCAGACAACCGACCCAGGAAACCAGTCGCACCCATATCAGCGGGAGGTATCCAGAAATGTCTTGAAGGTAGAATCAAATGGAAAAACCAAGATGAGGACCAAAGACAACAACCTTTAAAGCAAACAGGCTGTTAAGGCAGTCAGACATCAGCTGGAGCACATGCCTACAGCACCTAGAGAAGCCAGCTCTGCCAGCTCGTAAGCATATGAAATGCCTTAACGTAGCAAATGAGCCACTGTCTGTGATGAAGGTATTTGTTGAGCATCCAGTCACAGGAAAAGACAAACAATTGCTGTCAGCGTCCCAAACAGGTTGTGCATTCCTCATAGCATGCCAAACCACGCAGGAGACGTAATGATAGCATCCTGAACGTTTTGGCAGCAGTGTCCGGGAAGCTGCAAAACAATTCTTCATCACTTATTACCGTCTTATAAATGAGATATGCTGCTTTACTTAACAATGGGTGTGACCTGATTTTAATACAAATTCGGTGTCCACTAACCATTACTTTTTGTTGCTCAGACCCGCTCCATCAAAGCTCCAAAGTCTCCATATTCACATGTTGCATCTTTTGTATTTATCTTGATCCAGAGGCAAAACTTTGGCATTGTGTTCTTGAAAAGGTAACAACAGTGCACCGTACTCCCAGGTGGATGTTGAACATGCTGTAATTGCTTCAATGAACCTACAACCTGCACCGCATAGGGATGGTGTTTGTGTCTGTCCTGAAAAACTATAGTGAAAATGGCACTTTCTCTTCAGTTCACAAGCATGTACAATAGAAGAAAAGCATGCTGGGAGGATGGAAATGCAACATGTACTTGAGTCTGCTGCTTTGAAGGCATGGTGAGAAAGGACTTATTATCATTTACAATAAGTTTTTTAATACTGTGCTTTCAATAACAATGTCACATTATGGAACAAAACTCTTCAGGGGAATAGAGACCCTTATGATGATATTATTCCTCATTGGCTCATTACAGTGTCTGCTCGTCATTAAGATGTAAGAGGCAATTTTGGTGGCCCTGTACTTGGCCTAAGCATTAGTGTAAGTGTCAGTGATTTGAGGTTGCTGGGAAACTTCCTGCGCTGTACTTTGGAGGGTAATTGCACTGTCATCTGCACAGTTTGATGTACAGTTACTGAAGAAACACAACCACAGTGTTTCCGCAGATCGCAGTGAAGGTCCCTGAGTTGTTGTATAAGCGTGCTCATGTTTGACACTGCGGCCGACTACCTGATTACTCCGCTTCAGACCACCTTTTTGTTTTCAAGTCCAGAGCCACAACCAAACATACAACATTAAGATTGGAAAGTGGAAAGATTTGCGGGCTGAGATGCATTTTTCTACTGTGGGAGATGTGGTTATCGTTCTTTGTTCCCATCTTCTTCTCCTGCCCTGTTGATCAGGTTCTCGCAGCATGTCTCGCTCTCTCTTCCTCTGAAAATGCAGTTTGTGTTTGTCGGTGGCGGCTACAGATGTTTTTAAATATGAGCAGCGTTACACCCCAGCACACCACAGCTCAGTGCACGGTGCCACTGTGTTGACAGATGATGTGCTTATTTATGGCATGCTAAATCAACTGTCTAGTGCCTTTAGCAGTCTCTCCCTCTCTCCCTTTCCTTTTCTCACAATGTCCCCCCCCCCCCCAGTTGGGCTGCTGAGTTACCATGGGCTGTCAGGCCGGTCTGTTGTTTGTTTCCCAAAAGCAATACAACATATCTAGTTGCAGCTGGAAATATAAGCAGTTGGGTTTTCTGGCCAGGGATGGAAATAGATTGTAAGATTTAGAGACGACACTGAGATGGGATGTATCCCTCCGCCTTCTGTCCTGGGAACACCACATGAGATGAACCAGAGGAAAGAGACCCTGTGACCAGCTGATGGTATCTCAGAACTAGTAGACTGCATTAATACACCTACTCAGACAGAGTAACATAACATATACAAGTCTTGATGCAAGGTGGTTCTCAAAGCTCTTTATCATGATCGTAAATATGCATTCCTCCCAACTATAACACTATATTACTGTAAAAAAAAATGTAATTATTTAAAACATATTCAGTAATGTCAGCTTCCGTCTTTTTAAGTACGATTTGATGATACAGTATTTTGATTTTTTTGTTTTTTACTGACTGTTGAAATTTGGTGCAGACGTCCTTAGTGCCCAGAGGACGACTCCCAACGACTTTGATGTTCCCCTTATTTGCATTTTGCCACATGCCACCTTCATGTTTTCACTTAGCCTGTGAAAAATCTCAACATCCACCACATGGATTATAAGAAATTCTATACAGATGTTCATGGTCCCCAGATGATTAATCCTAATGACCCTTACTTTTCTCCTGGAGGCAAAATGAGCTTTAAATATCAATATCATCTTTCTTAGTGTCATGTTTGAATGTCAACAGACTGATGTTCAAAGTAAAGTGACTTTTTTTCCCTTGACATTCTTCTCTCTTCTAGTTTTATGCAAGAGCACAATTTACTTTATGCCAAAAATAAGTCCACCACTGGATCCCAACCTAGTAGAGCCCAGGTAGACCCAGAACATGCTGGGGAGACTATGGCTACGTCCACACTAATAAGTTATTGTTTTAAAACAGCATTTTAAAATGAAAACAATCTCCGTTCAGACTAATGTTTTGGCTCTGTATCAAAAATAATCTCCATCCATACCATAGACTGTAAATAAAGAAGCTCTGAAGCAAAGAGTGAACTGCTCCACCATCGCAATCTTGGCAGTGCCTGACTCCGCCTAAATCTAATCACTAATCCAAAAATGGGCAAATAGGTGGGGCTCCTGGAGCCAGCCTCAAGTGGCCATTCGAAGAACTGCAGTTTTTAGCTCTTCAGTGTTGGCTTCATTTTTCAGCTCCAAAGGTTGCTGTTTAGTCCATACCGCCACTTCTGAAAATACATACCACCATGGCCATTCACGTGCACTGGGCATGCACCTGTAAACAGGAAGCAGACTGTCTACTTTGCAATTGGTTAGTTGCAGAAAATACTATGAACAAGGAACGGCAAAATGCGGAATTTAACTGCACAACAGCTGCTAGCAAAGACAACAAGTGACGCTTGTAATTTATTATCCATGTTGCCTTCACCACTGGTAGTCGAGACTGATAAGACCCAATCAGGGAGTGACTGTGGGTGTCTGCATCAACGTTTTCAAGGGTCTCAGTTTCTGCCCATCCAGACTACAACACAACCCCGAGGTTTTCAAACTAAAACAGGTCGAGCAGTGTTGCCGAAAGTCTCAAAAACTCTGGACTATTGTGGACGCCTGGCGTAAAAGTAGCAAAAGTGATGCGTTTTAAAACTAAAATGTATTAGTGTGGATGTAGCCTATATATATATATATATATATATATATATATATAAATCTCTTCTGGCATGGGAACTCCTCGGGGTCCCCGAGGAGGAGCTGGAAAACGTTGCTGGGGAGAGGGACGTCTGGACTACCTAGCTCAACCTGCTGACTGTCTCAAGTGCTCCAGGGTTTCCCCCAGACTCCACCTTTTGAGTGAGTTCTTGGTTTGGGCCCCACTGGCGTCACTCATCACCACTTATATTTTTCTCAAAACATGGTGCCACAAAGTTACCCATGGGAGACCCCTCTACTTCAAGGTTGGGACATAGCGCTGGCTGAGAAAGTGGCTGCATTCTGTTCCTAATCACATGCAAGGCCTATTTATCGAACAGTCAAACACTTCAGTGAAGCCTTAAGAGGAGCAAGCTGTTACCTCAGGAATATGTCAGCCTTTCCTCTGATTTCTCCCCCTTTAACTTTGCCTTTGTTTGTTTGTTTTGCCTGTCATGTGGCACTGCTTTTTCCAGCGTGAGCTCCAGCATGTACAGCTCCAGAGCCAGACGCTGCTCTTCTCCTCTCTCCTGTCCCGTCCTCTCTGCCTGTATCTGGTCCTCATTTCGGACCATATAATTTCCCGGCTGCTTGTATCTGTGGGACTTTTTGGGGTGAATTTCTGTCTCTTCTTTCAGGATTATTTTTGGCTGTGTCAGCGGTTGCCACAGTGGCAAGCATCTGTTTGCCTGTCACTCATGTCTCGTCCTTTGCCTGTGTGATTATTTCTTCCATGTGGACAGATATAGACTAAGTGCGAGTCAACCGCATACAGGACATGTGTGTTTGTATGAACGTGATAACCTTGAAATTACGATACACAATCACATCAAAATAGACCAAAGGACTGTTTTGAAAATGTGTACACAAAAAGAATTAGAAAGAAAGTTTATTTTACTTTTTAAGTTTATCGTTGTAGATAATCAGTGCTGTAAAAGCAACATGTTGGCAGAAGAAGACTTAGCTACAAATTCATGTTGACTGTGTATGCATGCAGTAACTGGTATGTCTCTGTGAGTGTGTGTTTCCAGTATTAGTCAGTGTCATTCCTGGCCTCATCTTTTTCTGAGCAGCTCCTCTGCAGTCAGGCCTGCTGGCATCTCTCTCCACCCCCCACCAGCATCAAAGACGTGAAATGCTATAGTTTAGCTCACAGATGGTCCATCTAGAATTCTGAAGCAGCATCTGCAATATCAGTCAGCTACCGAGTTGGAGTGAACAGTACAGTTTAGATTATATGGCTCAACAGTGACTATCGGACCTTAGATTACATGCTTATGAAAAGCATCTTGGACTCAGTTGCCTCACGTCAAGAGGAAGATGACAATTCCTCTTACACCGTGTCTTTCATGAGTAACCTGTGAATCATGCTAAGTGTTGGTTTGGTTATGTCTGACCATGTCTGTAACTTTCAGAAATCAGTGACCTGACATACATAACCAAATCATGCTGTGATTGGCCAGCAGCGTGGAGGTCAGAGAGGAGCCAAGAACTGCTCTGCTCTTTCTAGCTCTTTTTTTTTTTTTGATTTGTTATAAACAATATCATACCTCCCCTGCCTGTAGGTGCGTTTTCATTAACCTGCTTAATGCGCAGTTTGAGTAGTGAAAACGCGTGAATTCCGAAAAAAGTCTCAAATGTCGCAAAAAAAAATGTATATGGTCAAATGATCTGGTTTTTCGACAAAGCAATATTTCACAAAACGGAAGTGGAAACACTGCAATGGAAACCCAGCTTGTTACAGCAGGTTTTTCACGCTGGCACTTTGGAACAGGTTTTAACACTTGATTTCTGACACGGTTGGACTACAGGCTGTACAAACCACTTCATTTCTAGTATTACCCCAGCCTTTACTAGTCTTTTAAGCGCGACTCTTGTTTCAGAATGACTCAGCGAGGGCACGTTTTCAACAAACGCATGGTTAACTTAATTAACTAGGTTAACAGCTACAGCTGATATTACCACAGCTGATGTTGTTATTTCAGATGGGAAAATTAGTGGTTGCGGGCAAGAAATGTTTACTACTGTTTACTTCTGTCTGAAATCAAGGAGCCATTGTGTCAAAAATTACTAAGAAAGTGAGTAAAGGTAAATCTTCCAGCATCATCAGTAAAGTGCATATGTGCAAGAATGGAAAGGCGTAGAAACAGTGTTTAAGGGGGATGGAGCTTAGTCTAGAACCTGCTCAATTCTGTCAACAATGCACAATGTATTCAGTCAGAGTTGTGTTATATCAGTGCGTTCATTCATCCGTCTGTACTCTACTGTGTTGTTAAAAATCTAAGGTTTCAAATAATGTGAATATAATGACATAAAACACGGATTTCCTGAAACCCTGTATTTGAGATTTGAACATCTAAAGAATATTTACAAAAAGGAAATTACAGCTATAATCATCTCACACCTTGCCAACGTGTGTGTGTGTGTGTGTGTGTGTGTGTGTGTGTGTGTGTGTGTGTGTGTGTGTGTGGGATTCCCCTACTTTCACTTTGAAGTCAAGGGGGATCATTACATGAAAAGGGAGATGTCATCAGTTGTCAGCCTGGTGCCAAGAGTCAGAGGAGAGCCAGAGAGACCATTTCCTATCCCATCAGCACCTGGGATTTCTGTCTTTGATGACGTCAAGTGAGCCTGTACAAGTGGAGGTGCTAACTGCCCGGCATGTGTATTTCATGTGTCTCAGTCTTTGTCGGAAGGCAGAATAAAAGCCTGCTGCCTCTGTGGCAGCAGGCCAGACTATTTTCAGATTCACTTCTGTGCTTTAAAGTCACTGTGAAATGTGTGTGAAGTATCTGTCATACACACTCCAACTCAGACACACACAGATCCACACATCCACTTTTCCTTGTCCAGTCTGAATCTGAAATAACTACTTTTTGTGAAGCAGTAGACCTGAATGAAAATGACTGCAGGTGCAGTATTAATTCATAATACTTTTACATGAATGACTCTCCTGTTAGCAGATATGACTTGATTTATAATTTAAACTACATCCAGTTGCTCTTCGCATCTTGGAGGTCTTTCCTGGGAGACAAGAGCTTGCACACAGGAAGAGATGCATTTTATGTTTGTGGTTTGTTTGGAATAAACATTAGAGGAACAGAGTAGTATGAGTGAGCCACCAACGCTGTGAGAAAAGAAAGTAATGAAGCAGAAAAAAAGAAAAACAAACTCATGCTCCCAGAAACTCAAAGTTCATCCACAGAAAATCCAGGGAATAAATCTGTTTGATTGACAGCTGGTTTCTGGGAGTGTGAAAACACTCCTTAGTTCTCAAGATCATGGGAAAAAAGAAAGATCCCAGGACATTAAAATGTAAAAAAGTTTTTTTGTTTTTTTTTAATGGCTCTGTCCAGTATTGATCCAGCAGTTTTCAAAAATCTTCTTGGTGGAGCACATATTTTATTTCTGACATTCCCACCTGGCTGTGTTTGTCTCATAAAACACTTTGTAACACTGTGCTCAATAAGTAAAGGTTGATGTCATAAAAGTAAGAAGAGTAAATCGAGTAAAAAAGGGTTTGCTGTCCAACTTTACTGTTAACTGTTAACCCAGTTCAGAATTAACAAATTTTATTGCCAGGAGTTAATCTTAATTAAACATGAAAAAACACAGGACAAGGGCCATTATTTGTTCATTTTGTTTGAATGAAACAAGTATGTTCACTTTAGATATTAAAGACATGTTTAAAGCTGCACTGCTCTACGGGTCAAATGGTTGTGTGTAATGTGAATGGAGCTGCTTGTTATCCAAACCAAGAATCGTCATAGGACTCTAGAGTTTCCCTCAGATCTGTGGAGTATTTTAGCATCTTTTAGCCGATTGTTTTGTTTTAAAGGCCTGCAGATGTACTGTTTTGGTTCTCTCTCACCACTTTCAGCTAAATGCTAACATCAGTATGCAAATATTCTCACAAATACAAAGCTAGCGTGTAGATGTTTAGGAGGTATAATGTTTCCCATGCTCACCAGTTCAGTGTATTAGCATGCAAAAATTTGCTAATTATAAACTAATAATAACAACTTGTACAGCATTTTTCATAACACAGTTACTTAGTGCATGAGATAAAATAATACAATTGTGAAAAAATGTATATAGTAAAAAAGTAAAACCAGATAGACAATATGAAAAAAATATAATCATATAATATTGTGCAGATCATTTAAAATAAGTAAAAGCCTGTTTTTGGGTAATGTTAGCTAATTAGCACCAAACTAGTGCTTCGATGCTTCATAATTTCTAAGCACAAAATACAGCTGAGGCAGATGATAATGTTTTCCAGGTATTATAAACCAAAGCACTGGACAAACAGGCCTCTGGGATCATTGAATATTTGTACCAAATTTCATTGCAATCCCTCCAATAGTTATCGACATATTTCATTAACAAACAAAAATATCAAGCTGCAGGCGGCACAAAGAAAAAGGCAAAATCATTAGGATCCATCATCTTGGCACCATTGATGTCTGCTTCCAATTTTGCGCCGATCCATCAAGGACACGTTTCAATAATTGAAAACTTTGATCTTCTGACGGCACAAGACGAAACATCAGGGAATTAAGTGACTTCTATTTCTAAATATCTGTAGCAAATGTCAACACAACTCATCCAACACTGTATAGAGTCAGTGCACAGTGAAACACTTTTAAATGCTATTTTTTGTATTTTCCATTTTTGTCTGAATTCACTGCTTGCTGATTACACAGGCTCATCTCAAAAACTATGCTGTAGCTGAATGTCACATTCACTGAGCCTTGAAAGGCAGTGCAGGGAGACAGAGAGTTTATTCAGTCAAAAGGATTTTCATTACTCTCCTGTACTTAGCTGTAGTGCAGTTAATGTGGATCATTCACTAAGTTTGAGTTCATTCTGATACCTTTGACTGCAGACTACAAGAATGAACACTGCCAGACTCTGTCTCAAAACATAGTCAAAACTTTTCTTTTTTTGTATTGAACTTTGAAATTTCTCATGTTTTCTTCTTCTAAGTATTTCTCCACACCACCAGTGTTCTTGTATCACTGAATTTGCTCAGCATGAACTGCTTGACGTTTACATTCCTCCATCCATGGATGAGATCTACAGCTTGAGTTTGTCCAGTTGCCAAGTATAGGAAGTTTCCAACTGTTGTAACGGGGCCGGGCAGAGAGATGATTGGGCGACGTTTTAATACGCTGTTTAATTCCCATTAGATACGGTCTGCTGCTGCCCTGGGGTCTCACTGTATGTGGCAGGCTTCCCACACACACACACACACACACACACACACACACACACACACACACACACACACATTACAATGTCCATTACCTCTTTTTAAAGAGCTGATGCTATGTTATTGTGAAAATTCTCCCTGATCTGTATCAAAGATGTTCCTTCTTGCAGAGTTGTTGTGATGAGGCAGTAATCCAATAAACCAGCCTGCAGCAAACACACCACAACAAAGATGAGAGAGTGGTTTCATTTAAAGACAAAGCTCTAATGCCATCACACTACCCTAAAGTTGACTATGCTGACTGAGGAGTTTGTGAGTGCGAAATTGTGTGTTGATTGAAGCTATTGTCCCACACTGCAA